GCGTTGAAGTCCTGGCGCCCCTCCCCGTCCGTGCTGCCGCCAACGCCCCACACCATGCCAAACAGCAGCGCCGCCTCCGCCAGCCGAACCTTGGACGCATCATCCATACCAGTAAACGTCGCAACGCCCGCGCCACCGCCGCTGCCCGTGGCGTCTTGGTCAAGCGGTTCTGTCACGTCAGCCGCGGCGGCGCCCCCGTCCGCACCCGCCGGCTCGGGGTCCGCGGCCGGCGCCGCCCTCGCGCCGAGGAGCGCGCCAATGATGCGCATGGTGGCGCGCGCGAGGGCTGCGTCTGAGGTTGGGCTGAGCTCCTTGACGCGTTTTCGGACGAAGCGCAGGCAGGGCGGCATCAGCCAATCAAAGAGGGACTCCAGCTGGCGGCGGGCCTTGGTGCCAAGGGTCTTGGGCAGGGTCTGGGGGTGTACTCGGGGGGCGAGGGGGTAGGTGGGGTTGTGTTGCTGCCTTGAGCACCGGTCGCAAACGGTGACGCTGCTCCACAGCTCAGGGTTACCTCATGACTACAACTCTGATGCAGAAAAAACTTCAAGTCAGTAAAGCTACCATGGTCGTGCATTAAAAAACTGCAATTCTTGGCCCACCTGCATCCATGACGTCAGCAGCGGCCGCCAGCCCAGCTGATGGGGCTCAAGGTACACCATGCCGCAGCGGCTGACTGTGGCGGGGGACGCAACAGACAGGTCCCCCACCTGCGGGTCATCCCGTATCATACTTGGGGTAAAAGCGCTGGGCTATCGACATGTTATCCTCGGATCCCTCAAGCTGCGGCCCCGTGTGACGTTGCTGCCCGCCAAGTCAACGGACCAGCAGGGCGGTCAAACGCGGTCAAAGGATCGTGCGCGGCCGCGCCCACCTCGAAAATCATGCTCATGGTGGGGCTCATGGTGATGATCTCGCTGTTGGGCAGGCACAGCTTCTTGTTGTCATCAAGGACTGGTGATTAGCATCAAAAGTTCGAGAGCGGTTGGGACGCCGATGTCAGCAAAGGTGGTTGTTGTGCGATGTATACGAAATCAGGAGCCGGGCATGCGACGCGCGGCGCGCCTGCATGAACTCGTCGTTTTGTTGAGGGACCAGCCCTGCATGCACAAGTGCTGCCACTGCATAGAGAGGCGGCGTGCCCTGCATGGGTGGGCCCCCTTGCTGGGCTCAGGGTTTAGGGTTCAGGGCGTGCCCACCCACCCGTGTTCATGTTCTCTATCCAGAGGGCGTCGACTGGGCCGTCCAGCACGAGCCACTTGCGGTCAGGGGATGGGTCCGACGCAAGAGATCTGCAACAAGTGGGGCCACCAGGGTTGATTGTGATCAACCCAATGCATTGGAGCAGAAACATAAGCATGCAGGGCTGCTGGCAAAACCACGCCGAATATTCAAGAAAGGGAAGCAGCAACAGGCCCGCGCCAGCCGTGAAGGCGCGGCGGGCGCCCCGTCCCGCCCCCTCCCCCCCCCCCTGCAGGTGACACGCCCGACGGCCCGACTGGTGGGCAGTACCTGAAGGTGACCGCGAGCACGCCGTCCTTCCATTCTTGGGTCGCCTTATCAGCCTCGCCTGCGGGACAACCATAATTCTTGTGTTGTCGATCGTGCTACGATCACTCGACCAACATCCACCTCCCAACATCCGGCACGCACACCCAGCCCCCAAGCCCCCGGCCTGCAGCCCGAAGCGCAGTCGCGTCCCGCCGACCACCCCCAGCGCCGCCCTGTCCAGCCCGTGACCCACCGTACAGCTGGCCCATGGTGACGGCCTTGGGGTTGATGCTGCGCACCGCGACGCGCTGGTAGAGGGGCCCCTCGACCCCCGAGTCCTTGAGGTCCCCCAGGGCGCCCGCCAGGCACTGCAGCGCGCACGACTTGCCGCTGCGGTCCGAGGTTGTGGGCCAACGATGTTGACTATATTCAGATCATGACATTGTATTGTTCGTCCTTGTTCGTCCGAGAAGGCAACCTCGGCTTGTGACCACCACTGGGGGCCGCACCACCCTCTTGATCACACCAAAGTGCCGGTCGCGAGAGTTTATGGGAGAAGTGTGATGCGTGCAGGTGTGAAGAAGGCAGTCGTCTTGCAAAGGCCTCACCTCATGGCGTCCCCCACGAGCATCAGGCCGTGGCGCACCACCACCATCTCGTAGAGCTGGGTCGCCTGCGGTGCGGATTGACCGCGCGGGTGCGGCATGCCAGGAGAGGCGGTGTGGTCATTCAGGTGGTGCGGGCAGTCCGATTCACTATCCAGGCAGCCACGACCAAACCTCTGGTGGTCACCCCTCTGGAAGCTTTTGCATAGCACACACATTTTGTGACACACGGAGGCACCAGAAACACAACAGAACGGTCTGCGACCTGCCTTGAGGATGAAATATTCGGTGGCCTGCAGGTTGCGCGCCGCGCACTGCCTGCCCAGAGCAGCATGGAGTGCCGCGTAGTCGGGCGGCGGCAGGGACACGCCTACGGCAGGGGACCGCGCAAGCCACCACGCATCGCAGCATCATCAGCTAGTGGATCGCTGTAAAGGGGCATCGACGCTGTGCCTTCGGGGCCAAGCAGATTCTGTGAGTGAAGCCTGAAGTCCCTGCACAGGCCCAGGTCATAACTTGAGGGCATGCACTACATGCATCCTCACCCCTCCCACCTCCACTCACCCCTGCATGCACCAAACCACTTACCTCCAATCAGCAGACCCCTGCCTCCCTCACCCACCCACCCCAACTCACACAGGCCCCCTGTCCTCTCACGCGCCTGCCTACAGCCCCACCCTCCCACAG